TCAGAAACATTTTATTCTCATGTGTCCAAATAAATAGAATCTGACCAACACGGATTCATTAGGCGCAGATCTACTGCAACAAACTTAAGTTCGTTTACGCACTTTGTATCTAAAGCATTAGATGATAGATTGCAAACAGATGTGGTTTACACAGTTCTAAGCAAGGCTTTCGACAAAATCAACTATTGCATTTTATTACATAAAATTGAAAAATTTGGATTGTGTGATCATTTAGTATTACTTGTGAAATCTTTGCTATTGGGTAGACAACAATATGTTGAATACAACGGTTACAAATCTCAACCATTTCATGTTAATAGTGGAGTAGCCCAAGGCTCAAATTTGGGTCTACTGCTGTTTGTTGTTTTTTTAATGATGTTATCAATCATTTAAGGTGCAAAGTCTACATCTATGCTGACGACTTAAAACTTGTTTGTACTATTCGCACTTATGAACACTGTTTATTACTGCAAGATAACATCGACAAATTCATTGAATATTGTAAAAATAATTCCCATAAATTAAATGCAACAAGGAGACTAAAACCTTCCAAAGTTTTTCAAAAGCAAAGCATTAGAGGTTTCCGAGATTTTTCAATTTCTTTCAAAAACAAATAAGTTACGCCGAAGATTCTTTCACGTTTATAAAACAGAATCACCAGGAGCTCTCAACATCTTGAAATTTTTTCAAAAATAAAACACGAGAGACACCAGGAACCCCTAGGATTCTTTCAGATTTATAGAAAAAACACCAGGGATCTCCGAGATGTTCTTACATTTTTTTAAATATAATTTTGTTGTTGTTGCTTAATCATTGACATCTTTTTCTTAATGTATATGGAAGGGGGCCTAAAGCGGGCATAGAGCCTAAAGCGGGCACTCTCTTTAGTTTTGGCGTTTCAAAAGATGGTGCGCCCTAACCGCGCCGACATAGTGCATCGCCCCCCCCCCCGCATACTTCACATCAGTCGCCCGGGCCTCCTGAGAGTACCCAATTATGTGCTGTTATAAATAAATAATTTTCACATGATTTTGAAAAATATTGCAAAGTGTGTCACATCTGTTTTTTCTATGTTTGTGATTTTTAAGCTAAGAATGAAATTCGTTAATCAATTTGTGTTTATGCGGCTACCATAAGGTAGCAGTTAACTGCCACTTGTCGCATCATTTTGAGTTTAGATGTTGTTTGCAATTTTAATTGTCGAAATGGGCAAAGCGGGCAGGGCAAAGCGGGCACTTGTCCGGTTTGTCCTTCTAGTGTATTTACTAAATATCTATAGTTGTTTCGAAAAGAAGAACAAAGGCAATGTGGAGTCTGTGAAACAAATTATAAAAGAAGAACTTGCTGAAGATAAAACGAAGTCTAAGAAGTGAAAAAACCAAAAAGAAAAATACGAGATATATCGCTTTAAAAAAATTATATTTCGAATTACCAAACGTCAATCCAGGGGACCTTCATATTTATATTCATATCTAGTCTACAGTTTTTACAAAAAAAAAAATTATAAAGTTGAGCAACTTTTACATCACACTTTAATCGGCACATTGATGCATTTTTTTGACGAAGTGCTGAAGAGGTTTGCATTTTGAGATAGAAGGTCCTCTGGGGAAAAGTGTCAGCTTTCTTTTGATACCATTTATAATCCTAAAAAAATCCATGACTGAGGTAAATAACTCTCGAAAAGTCAAAATCTATTAAAATGAGCTTACTTAACTTCTGGTTTGGTTGCAGACTTCAGTATTTCTAAAATGCAATTCCGGAAACCCCGACAATGTTTTCAATGTATTTAGTATAGAGCGAAACCGAACCAGACGCCAACCTTAACCATTGCCTGGTTTGCCCTAGCTGAATGCCCGCTTTAGGCCTCCCCGTAGGGCAAAGCGGGCAGTTGTAAAGATTTAGTTATCTGCTTCTAACTTTTTTTTTAATAAAATTTCTTCAATTTTAGTTATGCATCATTGAAAAGGGTTAAATCAAGCATTATAATATAAAAATTTAAAGGATCTAGATTATCCATATACTACTTTTTTTAATATTTTTCCTTATGGTGCCCGCTTTGGGCCCTCTTCCCCTATAGTTTTTTTTAAACACGATACTTCAAACAAAATTCTAATCTCAAAATTAACTTTTTGATATTTTAAGTATTTTACTGTTGAAAGAAGACTAGTATATTACGAAAAAAAAAAATCATCAAAGAATAAGCCCCACCCACCCGCCCAATCTCAGTTGTGACTAATCTTTTTATTTGTTGTGAAATGGACGGCGGAGCTTAAATGATGCAGAGTTCATATTTTTCTACAAAAAATTACCATGTGAAATATGTTAAAAATGAGGAAGTGCAAAATTGAAATGTCTTTACTATTTTGTAGAGAAATATGGATTTTGCAGTTAAGCTCCGCCCCTAAATCTGACATTAAATGACAAATTCATCAGAACTGATATAGGGTGGGTGGGTGGGGCTTAATCATTGACGTATTTTTCTTAATGTATGTATGTTTTTTTTTTTTCAAAAACACAATACCTACTTAAAACATAATTCTAATCTCAAATTCACTCTTTATTTTAAGTATTTTACTGTTGAAAGAAGACTGGCATTTTACGAAAAAACATCCAAGGATAAGCCCCATCCACCCCAACTCAATTGTGATTAATTTTTTTATTCATCGTGAGAGAGAGGGGGGCGGAGCTTAAATGCAAAGTTCAACAGGGGACTCCTAAATTATTTCATGTTTAAAAAAAATCTACGAGTGGTCTCTAAAATTCTTTCACACTCTTTAAAAAAAAGATACAACTGGCCCCAAAGATTCTTCCACGTTCTTAAAATCAAGACACCACGAGCCCACAAGATCTTTTGAAGTTCTTTCAAAAATTGATTTAAAGATTTGAAGATTTGAGGATTTTCGAACGTATTAATGCTCAAAAAAATACAGTGGACGTATGGCCATTGCAACCGTACAATCTAGAAGGGCGTTAAATGCAAATTGCCAGCCGAAGAAGACATCTACGTAGTTAATATATGAGCATCTGGTGAGAATTTGGTATTGATTGGCGAATTTGGCGATTCGAGGATTTGGTGATACGAGGATTTTGAGGATTTGGCGATTCGAGGATTTTGAAGATCTGAAGATTTGGTAATGATTCGAGGAATTGGTGATTTGAGGATTTTGAGGATTTAAAGATTGAGGATTTGATATTGATTTGAGGATTTGGTAATTTAAAGATTTTGAAGATTTGAGGAAGAAAGAAATATAATGAAAATATGGCTATTGCGACCAGATAATCTAGATATCTGTAATGTGCGATTCTTAGAAGATACCTAGATAATTAATATAGTTGAGGATTGGGTGAATTGCGGCTTTTGAGGATTTGACGATTCTCGAAAACATTAACGCCCAAAAATACACTGAATACCCACCCTATACCATTGCAACATAGATAATCTACACGATGATTTGAGGATTTTGAGGATTTGGTGATTTAAGGATTAGGTATTGATTTGAGGATTTGGTATTGATTTTAATATTTGAAGATTTGAGGATTTTCGAACGCCCAAAAAAATATAGTGGACGTATGGCCATTGCAACCACATAACCTAGGTGGTTGCAATGTAAAATGTTAAATGTAAATTGCCAGTCAAAGAAGACACCTATATGACTTTTAGTGATTTAAGGATTTTGAAAGTTTAAGGATTTGGTGATATGAGGACTTTGAGGATTTGAAGATTTGAGTATGGCCATTGCGATATAGATAGATAATTATCTACACCATGATTTGAGGATTTTGAAGGATTTGGTAATTTGAGGATTTTCAGAATTTGAAGAGTTAAGGATTTGGTTATTTAAGAATTTTGAAGATTTGGGGATTTGGTGATTTGAGGATTTTGAGAATTTGAAGAGTTGAGAATTTTCGAAGACACTGACGCCTAAAAGAATACAATGGAAGTATGACAATCTACATGTTTGTTAAATGTTCATTGCAAGTCGTAAAATACACCTAGATAATTAATATATGAGCATCTGGTAAGGAATTGGTGATTTGAGAATTTAAAGATTTGATTGATATAAGGATTTGAAAATTTGAAGGTTTCGAAATTAACTGTAAAAAATGCACAGTAATGTCGTACACACGAAAAGAGAGTATGATAACATTTCACTATAATATAAATGGCTTTGTTATTAAAAGATGCACGAGTTTCTCTGATTTAGGTGTCATTGTGGACACATCACTAACCTTTTCTAATCATATAATAGACATTACCAATGGTGCAATGAGGCTATTAGGATTTATTATAAGAAACACCAAAGATTTTAAGGATATTTTTAGTATTAAATTGTTGTACTTTAGCTTAGTTAGATCAAAGTTGGAATATTGTTGTGTAGTATGGGGTCCCTATCAACAAAATCATATATCACTTATTGAAAATGTGCATCGGAAATTCTGTAAGTACTTATATTTTAAAAAGTTTGGGTCATACCCGCACAGGCACTGTGAACAAAATGTACTTTTAAATATTATAAATGAAAGACCTCTCTTTGCAAGGAGAAATGTACTTAGGCTAATACTCTTACAAAAGATTGTTAATGGTGAAGTCAAATGTGTGGATTTATTTAATGAATTAAGTTTTTGTGTTCTTTGGACAAACTGTAGAACTCCTAACATGTTCTATTATAGAATACCAAATACCTTCCACCACTTCAACAGTTCACTTATTTCTTGTTTAAGATTATAATTGTATTATGCATCACCTTAATATTGATATGTTTTTTGATAATTTTAAGTGTAAGTCAATTAAATCTAATTTCTGTATTTTTAAATAGAACTATTACTAATTGATTATCACAAATTCCACATTTTCCCAACACACCTTATCTAAAACACCTACCCACGACGCATGAACACAACCTTTCTTAGGAGCCTTTTTTGTCTTAGCTGATAACACTAGATAAGTTGTACGTGGTGTGTGTTAGAGTGTGTGTGGATATTAAAATTTTCACGTCACAATGTCAGAATTCATAACCGACATGGAAGCTCTAGAAGACGAACATTTTCAACGTCTGAGGCACCTTTTTGCTTCAACCAAAAATAAATTCCAAAGATGTACAACTAACGCAGAGCGTGTTAATTTCTTGCTGGCTAATAAAAAAGTTGCAAAGCTAAGTAAAGCTGGCCTTAATCAAAAAAAGTCGGGCATCAAATCGAACTCAGCCTTTTACGAATTAACCGAAAGTGGAGATAAGCACTTTACAGATGGATACTATGAACGAGCTCTAGCTACGTATGGTACGGCTTTGTCTTTTGCTGCTGACGATATTACTTTGGCTATCGCATTCTACAACAGATCTCGGACATTTTTGGCATTGAATATGTACGATGAATGTTTAACAGTAAGTACATAGTTTTTTTTTTGACCAAAATGTTTTTATTGTTGTTGTAGGATATTGACATATGTATGGCACGAGGTTATAGCCAACACTTGAAGATAGATCTCATTAATAGGAGAAAATATGTGCAAATATTGAAAGAACATGATGCCCCTCCGAGAACTGACCCGAACACAACCAGAATCCAAGAAATTCGAGAAGAGGAGAAAAATCCTTTAATTCAGTCTGCCAGGAACTGCATTAGGATACAAACAGATGACCAATACGGCCAATATATAGTTGCCAGCAGGAATATTGAAATCGGCGAAATCCTAGTTGTTGAAAAACCATATACATGGGTGGTATTTGATCATCTGAGTATGTATTGTCATGAGTGTTTGAAAATGTGTCGCAACGTAATACCTTGCAATAAATGCATTCTGGCCGTATACTGTAGTAATACCTGCAAGAAAAATGCTTTCAGAAGTTATCATCGCTACGAATGTCCAATTCAACAAAACATACTCAGCTTCTTTTATGATGTCAAAGAACTCGTGTTCTTTGCCTTAAAAATGACACTCTTGGTCAGAAATGATAACGACGCTAATCCCGATGAAAGCATTTATCGTTCGGACAGGTACCACGAAATTTCAAAATTGGACAGTCGTATCGATAACTACCCAAAAGAGAAACTATTCACTCTGTCTTTTATAACAGCAATGGTGTTTCAATTTGCTAAACAGAAGACCGACTTGTTTTCGGTACGGACTTACGAAGACAAATTTAAGGAACAATTTTTGTTTAACTTGCAAATTGGTACCATGCATTATCGTGAAATCGAACTATATCGTGGAAAAGAGGAAGATGATAACCCAGTCTACAGTAACGTGATATATCCTCTGTCTAGCTTGTTTAAACATTCTTGCAATGCAAACGCGTTGTGTTACACTTTAGGATCTACATTAGTGGTCAAATCTGTTTCTACGATCAAGGAAGGAGAACAATGTTTTATTTCTTACGGGTAAGTTTTCTTTTTTGATTACTATGACAACAACCATGTTTAGTAGAAGGGTTGGAGATAAACATTTTTTAAGTTTCGAATATTTTATGTTTTAGTCCCTCTTGCGTGTATCTTAACAAACCCAAGCGCCAAGAAATACTTCGATACAAGTTCCATTTTACCTGCAAATGTAAGCCCTGCGAAGAAGATTGGCCACAAGAGAATAATCCTGAAGACTACAAAAAGTTTAGAGTGGTAGCACAAAACCTTTTAGCGAAAAATAGACAAGTAATAATCGATCATATGCAGAGGATAATTGCCGATCTGAATGAAGCACTAGAGACACAGAGTGAATCTTCTAAAGAAGTATTACACCTGACTGAACGGCTTAGAATTTGTTATGAGCTTTTAGGTTCGTTGTTAGTTTAGTAGCAAATTTTATTGACGAACAAAATGTTTAAAAAATCTGGTTTTATATTCAGTGTTTGTAAAATTAATATTTGTAGTTTCAGTATGTTTTGTGCGTATACAATATTGACCTAAATAAATCTTATTTTAATCTGCATTAAAACCTTGACAGTGTTTTTACGTTAAATATAAATAAATAAAGATAAATCTGCTGTTTTCAAGCGTGTGCTTTTTTTGTTTTTTTGACCTTTCATGAGCCCTAGAGTACGAAGAAATAGGTCGACAGTTTCCGTCTGTCTGTCTATCTGTTTGTCTGTCTGTCTGCCGTCTGTCCGGATCCTTATTAAACAGATAATCTGCGAAACTACTGGACCGACTCAAAACTGTACATGATCAATGGGTTCGAAATTGTCTAAAATAACAAAGTAGTTTATGACTCCGTACTGAGTTTTTACCCGAAATGTCCAGATTTTTGGAAAGAAAACCAAAAATAAAAAACATTATTTTGCATTTTAATTTTGAATATGTATGTTTTTGATAAGTATGATAAGTTTTTAATCAAAATTTTGCCGAATAAATCTTATCTAAAATCTCCAAAATATGATGAGTCTATACTTTCGGCCAATTTTTATTTTTCGTTTTTTCATGTCTTTTATTTTTTCAATGTTTCTTTCGATTTTATAATTTTTCGTTTATTCAGTTTTGAAATTTTCAATCTTTGATTTTTCAGTTCCTCAAGTTCCAGTTTTTAAATTTTTCAATTTTGTAATTTTTGGATTTCTCAATTACATATTCGATTTTTCTATTTCTTTAATTTTCAATGTTTTCATTTTACAATTTCTTTTCGATGTTTCAAAGCTTTCATTTGATGCTTTTCATTTTTTCATTTTTGATTTTCCAATTTTACAGTTTTGCAACTTTTCCATTTCTTTGATTCGAAAAGTTGAAAAATCGAAAAATTAAAAATCAAAGACCTAAAAAAAAGCGAAAAATATAAAAATGCAAATTAGAACTAAAGAAACGAAAAATCAAAACATAACTAAAACTCGAGAAACTTAAAAATTGAAAAAAATTATGAGTTGAAAAATTGGAGAGAAGAAAAAACGACTCGAATCGAAAAATTGGAAAGCCCAAAAATTGTCAAGTCCAACAATTATAGAATCGTCAAAATTGTAAAGTCGAAAAACTGAAAGCTCGAAAATTAAAAAATTAAATATCGAGATATTGAAAAATCGAATAAAAGAAAAAGTTTTAAATCCAAAAATAATAATTATTAAAAAATTGTAGATTTCTAAAAGAGTAAAACTGAAAAAGTGAAAAAAGTTAAAGTAATTATTATTATTAGCATTACATACATATTTAAAATGAAAACTAGAAAAATTGCAAAGCAAAACTGAAGAGACGCAAAACCGAAAGATCGAGGAACTGAAAAATCTAAACTAAAATAACCAAAAATTAAAATATCTAAAATTTGAAAAATTGAAAAATTGCAAATCCAAAAATTGAAAAAGTCAAAAATTGAAAAATTTTACATTTAAATGAAAAAAAAAATAGGAAAACCGAAAAATTAATAGGTAATAGGTAATAGGTTTTATTGTGCCTTAAGAAATGATACATTTCAGCAATGTCAAGACAGTATGTCATATCGACAATAAATATGCACGTGGTACAAAACATACATGTGTATATGGACAGCATAACATTTAGCAAATATAAAAGATAGAAGCAGCACCCACTCCACATTATTTATTAAATACTGATTTAATTGACCTTATATCAGTATCATAAAGTGGAGATTAAAACAGCAATGTTTTAATTTTTATTAGAAACTGGGGCATTGGTAGTGACGCAATATTATCGGGTAGGCAGTTGTAAAACTGAGGACCATAGTAATTGATGGAGTTTCTACTTTTATTTATTCTCCGAAAGTCAAGGCAGATATCATCACCCTGTCTGGTGTTATAACAATGGTGGTCGCGATTTTTCGTGTAGCTTTCAATGCGCGTTTTCACATTTACTAAGCATTGGTATACATAGAGCGATGGAACTGTCAAGATTCCATGTTCTACGTAATATTGCCTCACATCTTCTCTATAGTTCACATTAGATATTATACGAATTGCTTTCCTCTGAAGTTTGAAAATTCTGGGAAGATGTGTTGTATGTCCCCAAGTCGCAAGAGCATACGCAAAATGGCTCTGGAATAGGCTGAAATATACTAATTTTTTAATGTTAAGTGACACTATACTACTGAGTTTACGTAATAGGTAAATTGTTTTTGCAAGTTTCTTGCTTAAGACATCAACATGAGCTTCCCAGCAGAGAGTTGTATCCAACGTTATGCCTAGAAATTTAGTGTGGTTAGGATTGTCTATGCCAATATATCGCGTGGAAAATATCATTGTAGATGTTTTGTCTTTGTTCAAATATAGGCCATTGCGATGAAACCAGTTCTGAGCATTTGATTGTGCAGCGGCCAGCTTTCCAGTCACAGTCGCTAATCTACGGTTAGCTGTGCTTAGGGTGGTATCATCAGCATATAATATTGGATTAACATCATCAACTGCTGCTGGTAGATTGTTGATATAAACTATAAACAGTAGGGGTCCCAAAATGGACCCTTGTGGAACGCCATACGTCGTTATTTGGCATTGTGACAAATGAGAATTATATAATGTGGTTTGACAGCGTTTGGATAGATAGTTTGATAAGAGCGTTACAGATGAATTTGCTATACCTATATTTCTTAGTTTTGAGACAAGTAAACTATGATCAACACAATCAAACGCCTTGGAGAGATCACAAAATGTAATACCGACATATTCCTTATTTTCGAAACCGTTGCTGATAAAAGAAACAAGTTCGTTAATTGCCATAGAAGTCGACTTCTTTGCTGTAAAGCCAAACTGTGATGTATATAATATATTGTTATTGACCAGAAAATCAGTTAGTTGTTTGTTCAAAACCTGCTCAAAGATTTTTGATAGTACAGGGATTATCGCAATTGGTCGATAATTATTATAATCATCTACATTACCTTTTTTGTGAACTGGGACAATTTTGGATTTTTTTAGACAATTTGGGAATATACCATATCTTATGCTGTAATTTATCATTTTTGTGAGAGGGCTTATGATTGAGTTTATAACAGATTTTATCATTATAATGTTGAGTTCGTACAAATCTTTACTAGTTTTATTTTTCATTTTGCCTATCAGTTCTCTGAGATAAATGGGAGTAATTTCACTAAAATTAAATTTTACATTAACATGATTTAATGGTTTGTCCTTTAGATTCACGTGATTTTTTGGTATCTTTGATTTGAGTAGATTAATGTTATCAATGAAGAATTTATTAAAACCTTCTGCATTGAGATTTTCCGAATATACATTGGAATGATCATGATTTCTATTAGCATTAATCACTTTCCAAGCAGCTTTGTGTACGTTTACAGAGTTTGTCAAGATCTGATCGCAGTTGTGCATTTTAATTTCATTTATTTTATTGTTAAGAAGTTTTTTATAGTCTTTTAAAGCAGTTTTGAAGAATGCAGTGTTTGGGAAACGAGACTTTAAATTGTGAAATAACTCAACTAAGTTTTTTAAGCGTATTATTTGAGGATTCTTATTTAGCACCACGGTAGTAGAATACTTGCTGCTATTGAAGGTTCTTAATGGGAATGATTTTATTGCCGCGTTTGAAAGAATAGTCACAAACTCATCCCATTTATGTTCTAGGTCTGCTGCCTCTGTAATGTTTATGATATGGTCCCAATTTATTTCTGATATTTGGCTATGGAACAGATTTAGACCCCTTTGTGTAACGGGCCTGTATGTAGTTGTTTTTCCGTTCTGCTGGTACACGCTAATACAGTTCAGCTGAAGGCTGACTGCATCGTGATCAGAAAGTCTAGTGTGACTTATATTTATTTTATATGGTACTTTACTGTTAGTAACAATATTATCCAGGCAGTTCGTTTTTCTGGTATTTTCTGTGATTAAGGTTCTCATGTGAAAGCTATTTATAAGATCCAAAAAGGATTTGACTTTATGGTCAGGATTATTAAAAAGTATATTAAAGTCCCCAATTAAAAAGGAGCACGTATCGTCTAGTTTTAGTAAGAGTAGGTTTAGTAAGTACAGAAATTCTTCGAAATCGCCATCTGGAGGTCTATAAATGGTGATGATATTTACCCTGTACTCCGTTAGAAAGATGCCGGCAACCTCAGCAACCGTTTGCTTAGATATGGATGCTAAATTTAATTCCGAATACCTTACATTTGGTCTTATTAATATTGCAGCACCACCATACCCTTTTTTGCGACAAAAGCTGCTGGCCACCTTATAGTCAAGTAGTGTTAAGATCTCCACCTCGGCTGCCGTTAACCAGTGTTCACTGAAACAAACAATATGAGGTGGGTTGTCTGATAAATGTAGATCTAAGTCATTAACTTTACGCCGCAGTGACTGTATATTTAGATAAAAAAGGTTTAGCCAGTTGACTCCTAGTGCGGTTTTCCTACTTGTATGGCTGTTGTCTGTTTCGCTCATCAGCCTTTTACCTGGGTTGTCCTCATAGGCGTTATGGGCAGCTAAGTGGATTTTTTCTGTCGGCTTCTTCGGTGAAAATATCGCGTAACATAGCTGCCATTGGGCCATATTTGTGGATTCATTGCATCTTGGAAACGGTGTAGGTCAATTGTTACTTTGAAAGCAGAGTAGAACATAGGATATTTGGTTTCCACTTGTTCACATTGGACTTCCGGGAATTCACCTTTCAGTAGTTCGCAAACTTCAGTCGGTTTTGTATTTGGCGCCAGGCGTGATACAAAAATAAATCCTTTTTTGGGGGCAGCCTTAATAGAAGATTTTGTAACATCTTCTTTATTCCCTATTACTACAGACACTACTTTCTTTTTGGTTATCTTTTTACGTGATACGGTTTCCCACTTAACGCTTGTTGTGTCATCTGGTGCTGATGATTTAATTGTGGGTGATGTATTCTCCGTTTTCGTGGCTTTCTTCTTTTCGTCTTCAGTTGATTTACTCACAGAATGGGCAGTTTTATTTCCTGTGTGGGACGCCACTGGATTGGGTTTCGTTGCAGTGAGTTTATCACCATTTTTTATTGTGATCTTATCTTTGGGTCGACAGCTGACGGTGGAATGAGTTGGTCTTGGCAGTTCACTCACATGCATTGTTGCTTCAAATTCTTGGATTTTTGTCACGACGTAGTTCAGAGTATGTGCTAGCTCATCCTTTGCTTAGATTGTTTTCGATAATTTTCTTATCAGAGAGACGGGTTTTTGCTACTATCTCGAGGAGTTGTTCACGCAGTCTTCGATTTTCGTTCTCTAAAGAGGTTACTTTACACTTGAGCTCGTCGATGGTATTAATTCTACCATCATCGTCATCATCACTGCAGTAGATTTCGCCACTCGTATTTAGGTCTTCGTTGTATGTGACCGAGTTGTCCTTGACACTTTTTCTGTCGGGAGTTTCCTCTTCTAAATGTGGGTTTGCACAACAGCTTTTATTCACCTTGCTTTTCCCATACCCGGAACAACTATAGTGAGCATATTGACCACAATTTAGGCACATAACTCGTTTCTTAACCGCTGGTTTTTGACAAAACGTGCAGAGCACTTTATTTTGCGTGTCGTGGCTTTCCGCCATCTTTCTCGACTTAAGAACTAAAAAACCAAAAAATCGGAAAAATTGAAAATTCGAAAAACCGAAAAGACGAGAATTTTCAATTCAAAAAAGTGGAAAGCAGAAAAATAGAAAATTTAAGAACTGAACAAGCAAAAATTCAAAACATTGAAAAACTAAAAATCGAGAAAATTAAAAATTAAAAAATTGAGAAAAATTGGACAGAAGAAAAAACGACATGAATCCAAAAATTGGAAGGCCCGAAAATTGGAAAGTCAAACAATTATAGAATCGTCAAAATTGTAAAGTCGAAAAATTGAAAATTCCAACACTAGAAAAAGCCAAAAATTGAAAACGTTTATATTTAAACGCAGAAAAAATATAAAATCAAAACATAGGAAAACCGAAAACTTGAAAAAATAAAGAAAATAGAAAACGAAACCAAAAACTGAAAATCAAAAATTGAGGAAATGAAAAAAATCTTAAAATTAAAAAAAATAATACTCCTCGAATTTCAAATCGAAAAATTGCAAGATTTAAAAACTGAAACTTCCAAAATTTGAAAAATGGGAAAAGTGAAAAATTTAAAAATGAAAACTCCAGAGTATGCATATCGTAGAGTTGAAGAAATAAAAAAAATAAAAAATTGAAAAATCCTAAATCGCAAAATGGTAGAAACGAAAAATTGAAAAATCGAAGAACTGAAAAATCTAAATTAAAAAAAAAACACAAATTAAAAAATCTGAAAATGGAAAAATCGAAAAATTGTAATCCGAAAGTTTGCAAATCCGAAAATTGAAAGAGCCAAAAACATTTAGGTACATTTCAAGGAAGAAAAATTAGAAAATCAGAACACAGAAAAACCGAAAACCTGAAAAAAATTAAGAAAATAAAAAATTTAAACGAATAATTGGGGAAACGAAAAACTGAAACATCCAAAGTTGGAAAAACAGAAAATTGAAAAATTTAAAAATGAAAACTCCAGGAGATTCATACCGTAAGATTGAAAAAACGAAAAATTGAAAAATTGTATCGAAAAACTGAAGAAACGAAAGAATTAAAAAATTGAAAATTATAAAATTGCAACAGAAAAATCGAAAAATTGTAAAAATAAAAAACAAAAATCGAAATCAAAACTTCCATACTGAAAACTTGAAAAAACAAAAAATTAAATAATCAAAAATTCAAAAATCAAAAACTCGAGAAACTATAAACCGAATAATTGCAGAATGTAAAATTGAAGAAACGAAAAATTGAAAAATGGAGGAATTGAGAAATCTTAAATAAAAAAAAAACAGAAATTAAAATATCTAAAAGTTGCAAATCGAAAAATTGAAAAATCCAAAGAGTGAAAAATTTTACATTTAAAGGAGAAAAATTAGAAAATCAAAACATTGGAAACCCCAAAAATTGAAAAAATGAACAAAATAAAAAATTGAAAACTTATCAAATTGCAAATCGAAAAACTGAAACTTCCAAAAGATGGAAAATAGGAAAAATGAAACATTTAAAAATGAAGAAACCGAAGAATGAAAAAACAAAAAATTATAAAATCGCATCATAGAAAAATCGGAAAATTTAAAAATAAAGAAAATAAAAACCGAAACCAAAATTTCAATTCGAAAATTTGAAAAACAAATAATTAAATAATTAAAAATTGAGAAATTGCAAAACGTAAAAACTGAAGACAAAAAAAATGAAAAATTGAAAAATCCCAAATCGCAAAGTTGAAGAAACGAAAAATTGAAACATCGAATAATTGAAAAATCTAAATTGATAAAGAACCACAAAGTAAAAGATCTAAAAATAGAAAAAATATTGAAAACCGAGATTTTGCAAATCGAAAAATTGAAAAAGCCAAAACTGGAAAAATTTCACAATTCAAAGAAGAAAAACTAAAAGCTCGAAAATTGAAAAATTAAATATCGAGATATTGAAAAATCGAATAAAAGAAAAAGTTTAAAATCCAAAAATGATAATTATTAAAAAATTGTAGACTTCTAAAAGAGTAAAACTGAAAAAGTGAAAAAATTTTAAGAGTATAATTATTGTTAGTATTACATACATATTTAAAATGAAAACTAGAAAAATTGCAACGCAAAACTGAAGAAACGAAAAACCGAAAAATCGAGGAACTGAAAAATCTAAACTAAAAAAAACAAAAATTTAAATATCTAAAATTTGAAAAACTGAAAAACTGCACATCCAAAAATTGAATAAAGTCAAAAATTGAAATATTTTACATTTAAATGGAAAAAATTAGAAAAATCAAATCATAGGAAAACCGAAACATTAATAAAATTGATAAACCAAAAAATCGGAGAAATTGAAAATTCGAAAAACTGCAAGATCGAAAATTGAAAAATTAAATATCGAGAAATTGCAAAATAGAATAAAGGTAAAAGTTTTAAAATCCAATAACAACACTAATAAAAAATTTGTAAATTTCTAGAACAGTGAAACTGAAGAGGTGAAAAAATTAAAAAAGTATAAGTATTATTACATACATATTTAAAATGACTAGAAAAATTGCAACTTAAAATTGAAGAAACGAAAAATTGAAAAATCCAGGAACTGAAAAATCTAAAATAAAAAAACAAAAATCTAAAATTTGAAAAATCGAAAAATTGTAAATCGAAAATTTGAAAATTCCAACAATAGAAAAAGTCAAAAATTTAAATGTAATATAAAGGCAGAAAAAATAGAAAATCAGAACAAGAAAACAGAAAAATTGAAAAATGAACTAAATAGATTCTGAAACCTAAAATTGCAACTCAAAAAATTGAGGAAATGAAAAATTTTAAAATGAAAAAATTGAAAGCGAAAAAACAAAAATTTAAAAAATTGCAACATAGAAAAATCGGAAAATTGTAAAAATAAAGAAAATAAAAACCGAAACCAAAACTTGCAAATCCAAAATTTGAGAGACAAAAAATTAAATAATCAAAAATTCAAAAATTATAAATTGAAGACTCGAGAAACTTTAAATTGAAAAACTGCAAAATGTAAAAATTGAAGAAACAAAAAAAAATTAAAAAATGGAAAGTCCTAAATCGCAAAATTGAAGAAACGAAAAACTGAAAAAACAAAGAATTGAAAAATCTAAATTGAAAAAAAAAACACAAATTAAAAAATCTGAAAGTAGGAAAATCGAAAGATTGAAATCCGAGATATTGCAAATCGAAAAATTGAAAAAGCCAAATTTTACATTTCGAAGAAAAAAGATTAGAAAATCAGAACACAGAAAAACTAAGTAAACTGAAAAATTGGAGAAAATAAAAAACTGAAACGAATAACTGGGAAAACGAAAAATTGAAAAATCCAAAAATTCGTGAAATTGCAAATTGACAAACTGCAACATCTAAAAACTGAAGCACCCAAAGTTGGAAGATCGGAAAATTGAAAAATTTAAAAATGAAAACTCCAGGAGATGCATATCGTGGTATTGAAAAAACAAAAAAATGAAAAATTGGAAAAATTGCATCGAAAAACCAAAGAAACGAAAGAATGAAAAAAATTGAAAATAAAATACAAAAAATTATAAAATCGCAACGTAGAAAAATCGAAAAATTGTAAAAATAAAGAACATAAAACCCAAAATCTAAACTTGCATATCGAAAATTTGAAGAAACAAAAAATTAAACAATTAAAAATTGAAAAATAAAAATTAAAAACTCGAGAAACTATAAATCGAAAATTTGCAAAATGTAAAATTGAAGAAATGAAAAATTGAAAAATCGACGGACCGACAAATCTAAAATAGAAAAACAAAAAAAAAATATGTATCTAAGATTCGAAAATCCGAAAAATTGAAAATCGAAAAATTGAAAAATTCTAAAATTAAGAAGTTTTACATTTAAAAGCAGAAACATTAGAAAATCAAAACATAGGAAAACCCAAAAATTTTAAAAATGAACAAAAAAAATTGAGGAAATCTTAAAATTAAAAAATTGAAACTTGTCAAATTGCAAATCGAAAAAATGCAAGATCTAAAAACTGAAACTTTCAAAAGTTGGAAAATTGGAAAACTGAAAAAAACGAAAAATGAAAAAATTGAACGTGAAAAATCAAAAAATTAAAAAATTATAAAATCGCAACATAGAAAAATCGGAAAATTGTAGAAATAAAGAAAATGAAAACCGAAACCAAAATTTGTTAATCGAAAATTTGAGAAACAAATAACTAAATAATTAAAAATTGAAAATTGCAAAATGTAAAAATTGAAGACAAAAAAAAATGAAAAATTGAAAAATCCCAAATCGCAAAATTGAAGAAACGAAAAATTGAAACATCGAATAACTGAAAAATCTAAATTGAAAAAGAACCACAAATTAAAAGATATGAAAAAAGAAAAATCCAAAAATTAAAAATCGAGATTTTGCAAATCGAAAAATTGAAAAAGTCAAGAATGGAAAAATTTTATAATTCAAAGAAGAAAAATTAGAAAATCAGAACACAGAAAAATCGAAAAACTGAAAAAAATTAAGAAAATAAAAAACTCAAACGAATAATTGGCGAAATGAAAAATTGAAACATCTAAAAATTAAAAAATTGAAAATTCGTGAAATTGCAACATCTAAAACTTAAAGCATCCAAAGTTGGAAAATCGGAAAACTGGAAAATTTAAAAATGAAAACCCCAAGAGATGTAAATCGTCGGAAAATTGCATCTATAAACTGAAGAAAACTTGTAAAAATAAAGAACATAAAAAACCGAAATCAAAACTTGCATGTTGAAAATTTGAAGAAACGAAAAATTAAATAATCAAAAATTGAAAAATTAAAAATTAAAACCTCGAGAAACTATAAATCGAAACAAAAATATCAACAATTGCAAAATTACAAATCGAAAAACTGAAGAATGGAAAAATGCAAATCAAAAATGTTGCGGGAATGATATTTACGTTTTATCTACATTTTCGTTCTCTAGTTTTTCATCAAAATTGAAGTGGCTTTCGTCAAATGTAGACTCTGGTTTTATACGATTTCATTTTGAACCTTCTCTATAAGCAAGCTGTTAAGAATTTTTTTAAGCTTTTGTATAGTCTGAATTTTTTAGTCTTTGCAGTTTCTAATTAGATATTCAGGCTGTCTTTTATATTTGATACAACACCTGTAATTGTTTAAAAATGTTTGCAATAAATTTTGGAGTTTGTGCTTTACTAGTACTGCTTAATTTTTTTAGTTTATCATTCTTATCAATTATTTTTAACTGGATAAAAACTGAAACAATTATTTTGCATCTATATCTAGATTTTTTTTCATTTTATGCCTATTTGTGTCTGGATAAATTGAACTATTATCTTTTGTAAGAATTATTGTTATCAGAAAAATGCAATGTTGTCGATTTGTAGTGATTTTGTATTCTGTTCTTTATAATCAATTCTTTAGTGCAGTAACCTCCTGCTGCGCTAATTTCAAAACACCTGTATGTGCATAATTTCGTCAAAACTCAAACATATGACCTCGTTTTTACAGAACATTTGACGCATGCACAGTACACTTTTCTTTCTTGCTTGAGTTTTCTGTGCCTGAAGATAAGTTGTAACTCGTGTGTATTATAGTGTGTGTTGTTATTAAAATTTTCACAATGACAGTCTTCATGGATCTATTGGAAGCTTTAGACGAATATTTCCTACGTCTGAGACGCATTTTTGGTTCCAAGAGAATTAAATTCCAAAGGTCTATAAATAATGCAGAACGCGTTAATCTTTTATTGAGAATGCCAAAACTGCCGAAGCTAATTAAACCAACTCCTACGGCAAATCCATTGGCTTCCAAATCCGACGAGGTCTGTTACGACCTAATAGCAAAAGGAAAATACTACTTTAACCGGCAGGAATATGAAAAATCTCTAGCTATGTACAGCATGAGTTTGTCTTATGCTCAAAACAACCATACTTTGTCCTTTGTATACAAAAACAGATCTGAGGTACTTTTCGCAATGGGTCTGTTCAAAGAATGTTTAACAGTAAGTACTCAAGTTTTTTTGACCAAAGTGCATTTACTGGTGTTGTAGGATATTCAGAGGGCTGCGGATAACGGTTACCCCGAGAACTTGCAGGCACATCTTGTCCGAAGCAAAGCATTTGCTGAAGAAGTGACACAACAAATGCAAACCCGTCCGGAAACCAAAGAGAACACCTACGAAATCCCAGAATCCGAAAGAAATTCTTTGATTCAGTCCGCCAGGAACTGCATTGAGATAAAAACAGATACCAAATGCGACCAACATATCATTGCCACCAGGGATATTAACATCGGCGAAGTCCTTGTAGTTGAAAAACCATATGCATGGGCGATATTCGATCATCTGAATTTGTATTGTCATGGGTGTTTTAAACTCTGTCGCAACGTAATACCGTGCCCTACTTGCGTCTTTGCCGTATACTGCACTGACACCTGCAAGGAAAATGCTTTCACAAAGTACCATCAGTACGAATGTATACTGCAGCTATACATAAGAAAGTTCTTTGATGATATCAAAGAAACTGTGATTTTTGCCTTAAAAATGACATTCTTAGCCAGAACTGATAGAGTCGCTGATATCGATGCAAGCATTTATCGTTCTGACAGGTACTACGAATTTTTAGACTTGGACATTTCTGACAATAAGTATCCAGTAGAGAGGTCATTCGTACTGGCTTTTATAGCAGCAGCTGTGTTTAAATTTGCTAAAGAGGAGACCAACATGTTTTCGATACTTGGTTTGGAAGATGAATTTAAAGAACTGTTTTTATTTAACTTACATATTAGTACCGTATATTGTCGAGAAATTCATCTACATTGTGTAAAAGGTGATGATGATCACCCAGGCTATAGCAACGCGATATATTCTCTAATTAGCCTGTTTAAACATTCTTGCAGTCCAAACGCATTTTGTTACAGTTCAGGAAGTACATTGATAGTGAGATCCGTGTCTACGATCAAGAAAGGAAATGAAATTTGTATTTCGTATGGGTAAGTTTTCTTTTTTGATTAATATATTTAAATTTATCGACAGATTTATTAATAATTAATTTAATTCTCAGTCTGTGACTTTTTGAATAAGAGTGACAGAAATATGTCTATTCCCTCTTTGATTTTTTCCCACTAAGAATCTGCTTTATGTTTTAGTCCGTCCCACATTGATGTTGACCGAGCCACCCGTCAACAAGTACTTCGAAACAAGTACCATTTTACCTGCAAATGTAGGCCCTGCAGGGAAAAATGGCCACGAAAGAACTTCCTTGACGAATACAACAAATTTACTGTGATAGCACAAAACCTTGCAAAAGAAAACAGAGCAGTATTAATCAGTCATTTGCATAAGTTAATTGCGGACCTGAAAACAGCAGAAGAGACACAGCGTGAACCTTCTACTGACATAATACGCCTGCGTGAACGTATTAAAATTATTTATCAAGTTGTAGATGGATCATTGTAAAACTTTGTTGAGAAACAAGGTGACGTTTTTACTTTAGTGTTTGTGAAATTGATCTTTGTAATTTCAGTTGTGTAGTGTGTTACAAAATTGTAGAAATGCTGACAAAAATAAATTTTATTGCAATTTACATCAAAGATTGTTGAGTGTTTTCATCTGGAAGATAAAGCAGCGATTTAAAATTCCAACATGGAACTATCGAAGAGTTCGCTTGGTTTGTAGAGTCCATCTGGTTCCAACAAAATGGAGTACCACCTCACTTCGGACGTCAAGTACGGCATCGAGGAACTCCAAGGAAGTATTTCAAATTTTAATGTGATTGCTAAGTTTATGTCTAAACAACAACCAATTTCATCTCCAGTAGCAGGAGTCGAAAGCCTGAAAACTCAGAAAACTGAATGATCGAGGACAAAAAATCTAAAATTTAAAAATTCGACAAATTGAAAAATCATGGAACTGAAAAATCGAAAAGTCGAAATAGTGATAAATCTAAAAACCTAAAACTTTAAAAACTTAAAAATTAAAATATCGAAAAATTTAAAAACCGAGAAAACACAATATCAAAAATTTGAAAAATTGAAGAAACGAAATATAGCAAAATTCCAAAGCTGAAATATTGAAAACCCTAAAAATGGAAGGAAAATTAAAGAATAGAAACAGCGCAAAATCCCAAACTGAAATACTGAAAAATTGAGAAATGGAAAAATGGGAAAATCAAAAAAATTGGTCTAAAGAGTTTAGACAGTACTTCCCTCGCTATCGGAAACGTGACGACTGCTTGCCTATTATGTTTTTTTTTTTCACATTAGATTTCAAAGCATTCGGTTTTGAAGTTCCTGATTAAACCAATAAAATAAATTTGCGCACTTATTAAATTTTTTGAGTTATCCTTTATATCCAAATCCAAAAAATATCAGTGGAATGATAAATTACAAGAAGAGACTCATCATATTTTGTAAATTTTAAATAGGATTATACGGCAAACTTTTGAGCTGACGTCATTAATTTTTTGGAGGGGATAAGCAAATATATTTTGACTAAAAATTTGTTATGCTCTTTATAACCTCAAAACATTTGCAAGATTTCAAAGCATTGGGTTCTATAGTTCCTGATTAAATCAATAAAATAAATTTACACATTCATTAATTTTTGGGGTCATCCTGTATATGCAAATCTAAAAAACATGAATGGAATGATAAATCACAAGAAGAGACGCATCATATTTTATACAATTTAGACAGGATTTATTCAGCAAAATTTTGAGGTGACGTCATCAATTTTTTAGAAGGGATAAGTAAATATATTGTGATTAAAACGGTCCTAGTTTAATGACAAAAAAATATTGTTCGTCTATAAAACAAGCTCGTCTTAGACAAAGTATTCGTAAAAAAAATATGTCGTAAAAAAATTTACGTATGCTGGTCCCAACTGCGACTATGGTTTAAATATTTTTTAGAAAATCCTGTCATGGATGTAGAAACATTTGTGACAGCCAAAGAGGTTTTTTTGAGAAAATTATCTTTGAATTTAGAGCAAATTTAAATAGACACTAGGCAACAGGCACATTTGGGCAAAAGAAAGACAAATTAGGGTTACGGCTTCAAATTTTGGACGTATTTACAAACTTAGACCGACTACAGTAATAGCTAAAACTGTGGAATCTCTGTTGTACAGAGGTAATAATCATACATACTATGGACAGCAAAGTGAGAAAAAAGCTGTCAAGTGTTTTGAAATAAATAAAAATATAAAAACCGAACAGTGTGGCTTGTTTATTTCAAAACAATTTCCTTACTTGGCTGCTAGTCCAGACAGGGTTCTAGAGGATAGGAGTGCATTAGTCGAAATTAAATGCCCTTCAAAATCGCAAGATTTGTCTCCCGGAGAAGCGGTTAGAAAAAAAATAATCAAATTTTGTATATTGACAGACAGAGAATTGAAACTAAAAAAAATCATGATTACTACTTTCAAGTCTAGGGACAAATGCTTGTTACGGGTATTTCACAAGTTTATTTTGTTGTATGGACACCCAAAGGAATAAATATAGAAAAAATTTATAAAGACGAAGAAATATATGTAAAAGATGGCAGATAAACTTGACAGATTTTACTTTGGCGCATTATTGTCCGAAATAATTGATTCAAGAAGAAAGAGGAACCTGCCTTTGCGAGAGATTTTTTTTAAATAAATAAAATTTGTTTCTATTTTTTATGTACTTTAATAATTTATTAGGAGTACATTTTTCATCACCAAGACTAGCATATTTTTATTATAAATATATTTTGAAAATGATCTCTCCGCAAATGAAAACATATACGAGCACTTTTTTCGAGTAAACAATGAAGGGAGAAGCTACTGGGCGTAGGGCTTTTTTAAAACACCTCCTTTCTGGGATAAGTAGTAGATACACTTAGCTACTTATACGTGTTAAACAAAAGCTGTATTTTATATATTTTTTATTATTATTATAAATATGTTTAATAGTTTTATTAATTAACAAAGCAAAATGTATATTAACAATAATGTTACAATGAATTTTTAGTAATCATGTGTATTGAATTCAGGATCCTGAGTGGAGTAAAAATATTATAGTTCCCCAGTTTTAATTCGGTTTTATGATAGTACCTCATTGCGTAAAAGTTAATTTCCTTAACAATAGATTACTACGGTCGGTCCTGGCGGCTTGTTATAAAACTGAGTTCCTTGCCATAAATTAGAAAAATCAGCCGAGAACTCTAACAATCAACTTATGGTAGAGCAGGCGATAAGGGTTTTACCTGGAAACTCGCTTTCCGTAAATTTTAGTGGCGCTCCTATCGGCAAAGTACTGAACTAACTGCTCAAATTCTGTCGAATTGATACCCATTTTTTTCAATAATTGTTAGTTTTTGTTAAAAACTCTGCTAACCAATAGATCATTAATTTTCCTCTGATATTCCTGTTAAAACTATTCGACGTATTTTGCATTAATTTATGGTATATTTTGATTTTAATAAACACATTATTATTTAAACAAATTATACCACTAACAAACATTTAATGACTCTGCGCCCTGTAAAAAGTGATGTTTTATCCATGTGCGAATTTTCAAGCGATTCTATGATGGTTATACTCAAAAACCTTGAAAAGAAATCATACAATGGTGCTTTTTTACGATATTTCTCAGGCATATTTTTTTAGTTGATTGAACTGGTCTCTGCGCTCTAGAATATGAAAAAAGCTGCAGTTTGATGTATGATACATCTATATTAATATCATTTTTTCATTCAAAAAACCAAAAAAATATTATACCTCGTCTAGCGAGTCCCCTTAAGTCAATTTGTTGAATATAACGGATATCGTTCACCTAAATATTTTTCATTCACGGGAGTAACACAAGGTTCGAATTTAGGTCCAACACTGTTTATTATATATTTTAATGATGCACTTTCACAGCTAAATTGCCCCATGTTTGTGTATGCTGATGATTTGAAAATTGCTAAATGTGTAAATTCTATTGAGGATTGTATTCTTTTACAAACTGATTTAGATATTTTTGGTGTCTGGTGTGATCAAAACCGTCAAAAAATGAATCAAAGCAAATGTAAAGTTCTGACATTTTCTCGTTCGACCTCGACAATACATTATGATTGTAAAATAAACGGAACAACGGTAATCGAAGTCAATCAAATTAAAGATCTAGGAGTCATTATAGACTCTCATTTAACGTTCGTGCCACATATTCAATATGTTACCGACTATGCCATAAAAATGTTAGGCTTCATATTCAGAAAAACTACAAGTTTTACCAAAATTAAATGTTTGCAGCATTTGTTTTAGCAAATCTTGTAATTTGTATTTGTAGGTATATATAATTTTTTTTTTTAAATATAATAGGTATTAGACGTAAGTCTGTTAGATAATAAAGTAACGTAGGTAAAGTATATTGTGATATTTTTCCTAATATTCTAACAGATTCATTTTAAAACTTTATACAACGTATTTACTATTGCCAGAAGTAAATGGAAAACATTTCGAACCTTTGTTTTAAAATTATTGTTTCTTAAATGTTTGTTTGATCTTTTTTCAATAAAGTAATTTTTTATTCAATTTTTTCAAAAAGCTTTCATCACAATGTAACCCTCAGTTCTGTCATTTTTACAATGATTGGCCACTAGTATAATTTTTGAATGAATTGTCCTACGCCAGAACTATGACACGCGATAGAATAGCTGCGATTTTCTAATTTTCAGTATTTTTATTTTGACAATTTATTTTTTGACATGTTGGGAAAAAATAAAATAATGCATGTACTTATTACATTTCTGAATTCAGAAAAAAATCACTATTTAAAAACGGTACATTTCACTACTAGTGTTATTAAAAAAAATGAATTTAGCCCCACATCTCAAAAAGAAATGAAGTTTTTTTCGCTTATACACGTTGGACGGGCGATGTGTCTCGCTGAGTTACTAGTGTTTTCTATTAGTTTAATTCGCTGGTTTGAGCCGGAATTTTATACAGGAGGTGTTTTTGATATTTACATTCCTGTTAGGGTAAGCTTTATCATTAGTTTTTAATTTTGTTTGTCACCATAATCTCTGTTTTGGGTTCAGAGGTTTTATTTACTTTTTACTTGCGATTTTTCTGCACTCTTTTTTGTTAAAGTTCTTAATCGAACGATTAAGTCTTTGTGAAATAAGTAAGACTTCTATGCCTCTTGGCGCTGCTTATCAGTCTGCCATACCATTTTCTCAGAATGTTAATCTGCCTGTTGCAGAATTTATGCGTTTAATTGAAGATGTTATTAAAACTCACACCAAACCTCTAGCTGATCAGATTGGAGAACTAACTACAGAAATTCAGATATTATCTAAAGAAAATTCTCAGTTGCGTGCAGCAGTTATTAAGCTACAGAAAAAAATTGCAACCGCGTAATCTTTTAGGAAAGGAATTGAGTCAAGATGAAATAAATGCCAAAACTTCATATGCACAGACTCTAGTAAAAAAATCACAAAGTACAATCATTGTTAAACCAAAAGATAAGAATCAGTCCATCTCTAAAACTAAAGCTGATATTATCACTGGCGTCAATCCATTAGCATCTTCTTTAAATATTGGTATAGGCAAAAATCTGAAAGACGGTGGTATATTACTTGGTTGCGATAATAATGATTATGACATTCAAGCAACTAAACCATTACGTCCTAAAATTAGAATTTCAGGCTTCTCAGAGAACATCCAAGAGGACAATCTACTAACCTATCTTAAAAATCAAAACGAGTTCATTTTTGACGAAAGTTCTGAATGCAAACTTTTAAAAATCTATCCGACTAAGAAAAATGTAAAAATCTTCCAAGCATTAATTGAACTTGATCTTTCTTCTTACAAAAAAGCTCTAAGTATTGGTCATTGCCTTATGG